AATATCATGAACTTATTGAAATTTTTTTTTAATCATTTTAAAAATTTGTGAACATTTCACAAGCTTCTGTTTTATTTCCTTGTAATAATTTTGATTGTTTTTATCTTTTGTTCTGTTTTTATCTTTCTGGGTTTCTTATTTGTTTATTTTTTGTTTGTTTTTCACATTTCTGAAATTAAAATACATTTTGTTAGTTTTTTAAAAAAGGCATTTTAAAGATATGTCACTATTGTTTTTGTTTTCTATATCTCTGATGTTTAACAAAAGTGACATTTCAACAGACTTTTATTGTATGTTTGTGGTGATACGATTTCTCATTGTTTCTTTGAAATGTTTGTCGTAATTTAAAACTCAACCCTTGAATTTATTTTTATACATAACTCATTTTAATATGAATTTTTTTTTATCCTACAGTGCTTGTCTTTCTTTATTATTTATTTATTCATTCTTTGCAGGTGTTTTTGTCCATTCATTTTTATTTACTTCCTTGTGGATAATCATTTATTTCTTTCATTTGTTTAAATCCTATTTGCTCAGATTGTGGAATTTTGATGAGCTTCATTGTTTCGTTTGTGGCCAGTTACATCACCTTTGCTATTGTAATAGAAGTCCTCAGTAATCATATTGTCTTGCTTTTTATTTTTTTGAATACGTTTTACATTCCATCCCTGATTCCTGCCCGCTTTTATGTCTCTGTCTGTTTAAAATCCAATACATCAGTTGGCTGTGTGGATCCTTGTAAGTCTCTCCACCAAAAATAAGTACCTTGTCTTAGTATATTTTTCGTTTTTCCTAATATTTCTCGTTCTTCTTCCTTAAAGAATCATTTTATTCTTTGCAGACATTGTTTGATGTATTTGTTGAAAAGCAACTGCAGAAATACTTGTAGAAATAAACATCTTATTCAGCTTGTGTGATTGGCTAACAGTGTCAGCAAACATCAGTACACTCCAAGATGATTCAAAATGTGATGTTTTTTCCTAATGTCCTGGGTACAAGATGCAAATAAAACATTCTTGGGACATTTGAATTTTGGACACAGGAAACAAGGGATACCATGTGGTTTACATGATTAATTCCACTGCACATTGTCTCTTGAATGTTAACTATCAAGAACACATTTAGGACAGTGTTTGTTTGAGCACACTATACTGTATGATGTCATATTTTTATGCCTGATGCCAGTTGTGTTGGGAATTTGTTAAATACAACATTGTGGATATGGCTCAGTGGTTAGATCATTTAACTGCATACTGAGAGGTTAGATATTTTTGTTGGTGTTTCTTGTTGACATGTTTTGACTGGTGGGTGGTAAAAATGGGCTTAAAATCATAAAATCAAAAGTAGTATTTCTTTATTTGATCAGTCTCATAAACTGCATTAAACAGAGCAAGTGGCTTATTGTGATCCATTTTGGACACCATCTTTCTTGATTACAATAACCAGCTGATAAGATTAAGCAATGGATATAAAAATCAGACCAATTTATATTCATTAGTTTAAATTCATTGATTGTATTGATTAAGATTAAATGTTTATTTATCCTTTTTGGTGAAATGAAGTCTTTTCTGTTGTTATAACCAACTTTACATTAATATGAATTTTACTAACATGAAATTATTAAATTCTTAATTCATTTAAAAATAAGTTATTTTGAATTGATTGATTTCGATTGTAATAACCATTTTAGAACATTGATTATAATAAGTAGCTTCCTCTGTACTTATGATATAAAAATATGACAAATATATGAGACAATTTAGAAAAGTCTTATTTTGATATGTATCCCTGATAAAACAGTATCATCAGAAAAATGGATTTTATTTCAGCCAAGTTACTGAATTGTATTAAGTTTTGTCATGTAAATTTGTTTGGCATAAAATCCATTTCTTTGATGACACTGTTTCAGCAGCAAAACATGTCGAAATACAATTTTTTTCAAATTTAAATCATATATGAGTATCAATTTAAAAAATGGGGAGAAAACTCTCATCAGGTTGAAGTGCCTTTCTCCTGAGTGTACAACATATAAACTTATTTGCTATTAATATCAACCTCTAAGAAGGAAACCACTGATTTCCGACCAGAGTACGCTGCATTTTTATCTTTGATGCAGATTGTGTCATGTTCTTGTAGTAAAATCAGTCATGTTTACAAAATATAGACAATGTTTATGTTTGGAATATTGTCATCTTTTGTGATAACAATGTCAAAGATGAGACAATAGTAAATAGTGTAAATAAGGAAAAGACCTCATCACAGAATTCAGACAGAAATTATTTATTGCACAAAAAATGTACAATTTGAATGAGATATTTTTTGATTACAAGTTTTTCTGTAGTTTAGATTTTTGTTTGATTTTAAAAGCAATTTCCAAAGCAACTTCTGTTAATTCTTTGGTGCCTTGTTCAATCTTCTGCATGTTTTCTGTATCTTCCTTTTTTTTTTCTCCTTTTTATGAATTCTTTGACAATTGCAAGAAGCTGGATTAATTACCTAACACTTAATTTAGAATTTTTAAAATTGTCTTCAGGATTATTTTGTTATCACCCATTTGATAAAAAGTAATCTGCACAAATAAAGTCTTTATCTGTCTGCTATAAAATCAGTAACTATTGGATGGACTCCAACCAAACTTGATATGATGGTAGGCTTATAAACCAGGGACTGCTATCAATAATATAAAATTGACTTAGGTCAAGCATGGGGGTCATGAAAGGTCAAAAATAAAGTCAAAGAAGACATTTCTTATGAAAATTAAATATCTATTCCCATATAAAAATATAATCGTAATAGAGGTAAATTAAAATGTGGTTACTTGCCATAGTCATTTTAATAATTTATACAAATAAAGGGTGCAATGTGTAAATTGTCTCCATTTTATATTTATAATTTCATTCATGGTGTTTGTTTTTGATTTTGTTGAATGTACAGTATAGTACAGTCAGTTGGGCACTGTCTGCAAGAGAAAGAGTACCCTGACACAATTCACTCTACCAGAAATTCGGAAACAGCATGCTGTATTGCTTTGTATTTGTGCCAGAAGCTCTAATACATTTCAAAGTGTTTGTGTGTCAATCTGAGGACAGTGTAGAGGATTCAGAAAGATCTGGATGAGTCTGATGGTGATTATGAAGGTACAGCAGCTTGGAAAACTCACTCTGATTATTCTGATAAGAAAAGGACTCCTGAATTTGTTGGTAAGAAAAAGACTCCCAAATTTGTTGTCCAGGCCATGATTAACAACAATCCCTCCAAGTCAGTCAGGTCTATAGCCAGGAATATAGGAATGTCTGTGTTTCTTATCAGGAAGGTAGGTTTGATGATGTTCGGTGATGCCTGGGGCCAACTCTTTGATTGTATGACCCTAAGAAACTCAAGTAGGATGGGGGGGGGACTATAGGGCCTAGTACTGAGAAATGTGAGAAAGACATTTTAAATATGTAAAACCAGATGAAACATGAAATAAACACTTTATTCAAATTAGATATAAACTGAATTCTTATTTCATTCTTTGATTGGATGCCCTCCCAATATGGCTGCCCCTTCCTGTTCTGCAATGCTACTGTCCTGAGCAATGTCAGGTATCTCAGCTTATGTTAAAATAAGTATGTAAGGTTATTCCTGTAACTGTTTTTATTTGCCCTGAATTAATTCCCTATCATAATTTCCAATTGTTGTAGATTTCTCAAAGTGTAGCAATATGTAAATGATTGCTTAATTAGCATGGCTAAAATATAGACTATATAAATGCCCAAGCAGTAAAGGTGAGATAAATGACTACTACTGGACTGAGAAAATACAAAGGAAATTATATTTTGTAATACAAAGATTATCACTTGTGGTTCATTCTGTCTTCTAACTCTATTAGCAATTGTGATACAAAGATTATCACTTGTAGCTTACACTCTCTTCTAATTCTCTTAGTATCTGTAACACAAGGATTATCAATTGTGACTTTCTCTTCTAACTTTATTAGTAAAAATGACACAAAGATTATCACACTGCTACCCAGTCCTAATTGTTAGCCTTGACAGAGTTCATTATTTTTTTTATAGTTAATGTACTTTAGAAAGGCATGAAATCAGTTTCCCTTATTCTTTGTCCTACGTATCAATTCCAGACTAGCCATTAGCATGATAAATTTGTTAACTGAATAAATAAGCTAAATGATCATCTAGTCTTTTTTTCTCATTTTTTACAATTATTTTCCTAGCAATTAACAGCTGCTTTATTAATTAGCACTCTTGACAGACTGAGGGTAAACTGGATCAAAAACGTTTTTAAATTCCAAGTGTCATAACTCAAATGTTTTTCTATCTTGGAACAAGTAATTCCCAGCACTAAAAACATGTTGTTGCCTTAGGATTGTATTGTCATTTGAATAACAAAGGCTAGCAAATGACTTTTTTTCTTTTTTTCACCTGTTCTTTTACATTTTCTTGGAAAGTGTCTCTGATAGGATTCCAAGAAGCAAAAAATTGGTTATACCAATATTGGAAGCTCTCATTGTACTTTTTCTACTGCTGAAAAATTCTTGTAGGGAAGAAAAATGTTTTTTGTAATATTTGTTTTATAAACTCTGGCTTGTTTGGTGCTGTCACCTGGAATTAAGTGGGCCTTTTACAGATCATTAATATTTCAATACAGCTGAAGGAGATTAGAAAGAAAAGAAGAAAAAAACAATATAGGGATACAAAAAATAATTTTCCTCTTCTTTCTGCTTTCTCCAAAATCAATCAAGGACAAATATTTACTTTGGTATCATGCTGCTGGTTTGATGTAATGATGAAATTATTTTAGATCCAGTTATTATGTGGGATCATTTTTCTTGCATCTCTGGAATGCTGATTCGGTATCAATCTGATTTTCACTCCATTTGGTGATATTTTGATAAATCTATAAGAATTAATGGTAAAAAAAAGAAACTATGATTCAAAACTAATTTTTTTTCAGGCTAGCATCCTTGTTTTATTGTGTTTATCACAATGTTTTAGAGCTTATGGCCATATCATGTTGAAACACCAGTTCCCATATGATCATCAAAGTTAAGCAATGTCGAGCCTGGTCAGTACCTAAATGGGTGACCACTTGGCCATACCAAGTACTGTGAGCTTGGATGTGTGGGTTTGTGTAATGGATAATGGTTTAGAATTGTTAATCAAAAGGCCATGTTCTAATTTCAATTTGGTTTATTATATTCACTTATGTGCAAATACCTTTGGCAAAGATATGAATCTCTCTTCTCCCCACCCAGCTATTAGATAATTAGTAAGACTTATATCACTAAATCATTATTATCCCCACCAAAAAACAAAAAGGAAGAAGCATCATAATTTTCTAATTCTACCACAAAGCCACAAGTATTGTAATGGTAATATTAGCTATTTTCTTATAAAGAAATATTTGGCATGTATTGACTACTGTTAGTTGAAATTTATAAAATCTCACTTTCCAGACAATTTTTTAGGAAAATAGGTTTCTCAAGTGGGTTACCCAATGTAGTTCAAGTGTGAGAAGAAACTGTTAGCATAGAACTTGCAGTTAAATTTATACCTTGCTGCCAATCTAGTAGTACACTTAGAAGTCTCAGTAGTAAATAGGAAAGCTCATCAGAACAATTACCATGAAAATATTCATTGAAAAGGCACAGGGAAGCTATGTTACAACAGTGGGAAATTGACTGAAGCCGAGATGCCAGGTCAGGACCAATAACCTTGGAGATTCTACTTTGGAGTTTATCAATTATCTCTAAATATATAGCAGGAGCAACAGACTAGATGTTGAAGCAATATTCAAAGCAAGGGGGAATGGTAGACTTATAATTATGTAAGATAGATTCTATCAATTAAAATTATCTAGCGCAGCACAGTAAACAAAATTTCCTAGTAGCAAATCTAGCATTTGATTCAATATAATCTTTCCTCTTCATTTATTTATATTAGCTTTTTTTATTGTTTCATTTTAGTCATTTCTCTACAAGCAAGGCAATAAAGTCACTAAGATGCAAACGGGTTACTGAGTATGAGAGAATATGAAAAAAGAAAAAATATTGAAGGAGAACAATAAAAGAAGAGGAATTAAGAAGACAAAAGATAACAATTGGCATTGCATTTAAATTTTTAAAGATCAAAGTTGACTGGAAAGCAAGATGCTGGGAGAGAGTTATATAACTGAGAGAGAGAAATTCAAATTTATATTTAGATCAATATCTTCATTTTTGTTTTTATTATCACAACATTTCAGTCATTGTGCCTTCTGGCCTTCTTCCTTTATATGTCAGTCCAGTTAAACTTCAATGAACTGGACTCTTTATTTAACCAATATAGACAGGATTTGTTCAATAAATAGAATGACAGCATTTTGTCAAATAACAGAAAAAATGTTCACTGAGGAGAAATTAAAAAAAACTTAAATACTTCCTAAAGGTTTGGCAGGAAGGGAGACAAACAACTGCCACTGCTTAGAACACATCCATTAATCTGAGGAGCAGGAGTCTAATTTGTTAGCCAAAGATGGTATGTTCAAACTTAGTTAGGACCACAAGAGTCAGCATAGTTAACAGTTTTCACTCCGCTGTCCCTGTCTCAGAATATTTCATTTGTTCTTATTTAGTACTATTCAATTACTGCTTACCTTGTTTCCACTAAGTCTAAGTCTGTATAACGCAGAGATTGAAATCACCATTGCTATGCCACCAAATTCATTAACTTTAATCCACTAGCTAGCAGATGTTATGCCATCACTAATTTCACTATCAGTCACAAGTGTTAATATTTCACAGGATTTAACTTTGTATCTTACAGTGTTATTTTTTGTGTGTATAATTGTATTTTCAAAAGCCATTACTATATTTATGAAATGCCTAAGTGGATCTCCCGCCCATGGTGAAAAGAACTATGTCTATGGTCAGAAGAAGTCAAGACACTAGTAGTAAATGTTGGTCGGAAATTAGTGACATTAATTTTGGCTTTTCACAGTTGACAATCTCAGCAATCATCATAAAAGATACAAAGAGAATGAATGAGGCAGTTACATGCTTCCAGTTCCATTAAATCCACTCTGATCACAAAGAAAAGAGCTGGTAGAACAATCAATAATATGGAAAGATGGAAGTGCAAATAAAAACAGAATATGCAGCATTATTTACTCAAAATACAGATTAGGCAAAATCCTCACTAGGTATCCTTTTAAAAACAATTGACTTTTAAAAACACAACAAGGTTTGACATATAAAAGCAACCAAACAATCAATCTGATGTAAAAGGTTGCCTTGGTTGTATTGCTAGTGTTTAGTGAGGTTAGCATGGTTTACTATTGCTACAGAATAGTGAACAATTCTGACTGGGTGTTCCAGACAAAAAATCCAACATTAAAGAATCCCAAAACAGTTGACAGGTCATCTAAGCAAGCAAGTAAACAAAATTTATATTATTTACAAGCAGACTATTTTCCTTAATTTTGTTATTATCAAAATGTCTAGTCGGTTTATCTTTTAAAAGCTAAAAGTATAGCCGAAAGCACTCAGAATTACAGAACATTTGGACAATTTCTATACACTCTGTATCTAAAAAAGAAAACACTTGTTCAAACACATAAAAAATTAAATAAAAAGCTTAATCGCAGTACCTTGTCTGTCATCTTTAATGAAACATATAAATATGTATATATATATATGAGGCAAGCTCAATGATTGACCAATAATAATCTTATAACTATTCCCATACAAATAAATTAGCTGTTCTACCTGTGTAGATCTACCTTTTTGAAACAGCTATTTTGCCAAAGGGAATTAACTCAACATTCACTGTTCTCATTCTTTTGCCCTTGTCTAGGTATATCTGATTTAGTTCTTCTTTAGTACTTCTCAGTTATTGCTCGCCTTGCTAAGCAGTACTAAATAAGAACTAGACAAGATATCCCTAAACATTTACAGTGAAATGAGAATACTCTACCCCAATAGATTAAATAAAGGATTTAATTTGAAATGTCCTGTAGGTTATCTGGATCAACAAGCATTTGATAAAGGCTTGAGGACACAATGATTGAAACATTGTGATAGTAGCAACAAAAAGATGTGAGAAATAGTCAATAGTAAATATATAACTCCTTATCCAGAAATTAGCTAAACTATTAAAGAATTTGAAGGAGCAATGTTGATGAACTAATATATACCAACACTTTTATTGTGTGGCAAAGATGGTTTCAGTGCTTTAAAAATGTTGTATATTGAAATGGATGTGTTTATTCTTGGTGTTTATAAGCAGTAGCATTGGTGGGTTCTGTAAAAAACTTTACAGCTTTTTGAAATGTACACATGTAGATAAATGCTTGTAACATAAATATTCAGTTGTATGTCTTCTTTTTTAATTAAAGTAAATATACTGTGAAATGTGGAATTATAACAAAAGGTTAATGTTTGAAGTAAAACTAATTGCTGATGTTCAATGTGCTGATTCATTTAATGGAGATATTCATAATATCAATGCCAAAGAAAATTTTATTCACCAATAAATATTCAGTAGAGATGAGATGAATGTATATTGATTTTCCAAACGTAGCTTAGATGTGGCACAAGGCCAAAAGTATGAGGCACCCAGTGAGGATCGAACTTACTACTCAGTCGTAATTGTTCTAGCGAGACAAGCTTGCTAACCATTACACCGCCTTGGGGTGCCCACATAAGTTGAATTTATTCTGGAAACAACTGCCTGAACATATGTAGATTCATCAAGAGATCAAATTGATACCAAGATTGAAGGCATTACTTTTAAGTGGAAAAGTTGCTGGATTTAAAACGGAAACCTTTCATAATATAGCACTTCAGACACCACAGAGCATTCAAAAATGTGAGCCATTGTAAGTTTCCAGTCCATACAATAATGATTTTCAGCTATTGTGATGAAAATGTGTTCTCTTGTGAAGGCCCCATGCATTGAGCTCCTATTGAGACTTAAGCACAACCCAGACCTAATACATATGATCAGTTGCTAAAAATCCTGAAAAAATGTACCACACCAGTAAGTACCTGACTCCAGCTATCCTCTACCTTTACAAGTGCTAGATCAGGAAATGAAGTACTGCTGCCATATATGGTCAGGAGCATCCCAGTCTTCATTTTCTAATCTCAATCAAGTCAAAAAGCATTTATGCTTTCTTGTGGGTGAGGAATTATTTTTCACCCTACAACCCCTTTGTATACCTCTTGCTAATCTATCGCTATTTCCATGGAAAGTGTTCAAGCAAACTACATTCCTTAGTTCTACCAGATCTAATCTTCATAGCAAGGACCCACCATGCCATGCCTATTATCATGAACCACTCTCATTCCCTTCATATTCCATTGATGAGATATAAGTTCCACTTGAAAAACTTCTTCCCACAAAGTAATACTTTGTGGAACTGACACTCAAGAGGATACTTCCCCGATCATTGCAATATTAACCTGATTAAGTCTAGGATTAACTCTTATCTTCCTCACATATCCTCATAAACTGTGTCCCTTACCTATTATTCTGTAACCCTCTAAATAAATATTTCCTGGCCATACATAAAAATAGTTATAAAAAAATATATGAAAGTCAGATGGAAGAAAGATTTGAAGAGATGAAAAATCTGTTAAAAAAGAAGAAATAAATAACAATATATATATTTTATTGCTTGACACTCAGCTAGAATTAGAAATCAAAAAGGGGTGATTTTATAAACTTGTAATTTCAAGTTTGAAGAACATGTGAATGAGGAACAGAGGGAAAGCAAGAAATGAAAAAAATGCAGAGACACAGGAAGTAGAAAAAAAGAGCAAAAGAATTCACAAAAGGCACTACTTAAGAAGACATGTTATCTTGTAAAAAAAATAGGGGAAAATGTCTTTCAAAATCATTTTTATGGATTATCATTCATTAGCCCTTCTTCAAGGTGTGACATTTATTAAAATAAAAAGCATATAGATTTTTTTATTATTTTAGAAGGGAAGTCATGTTCATAATATCAATACTGTGTAAAATCAATCCCTGAATTTTTAGAGTTGTCGGGACTTAATTTTTTTGCATATGAAAACAGAATTTATTTTATAAAAAAAGATAAAGAACAAATGGATATATACATTTTAAT